TGTACTTGTGGGTGACTCAAATTTATTCAGAATCATATGAAAAAATGATGTTCCTAAGTCTCCTCAAATATGACAGTACACAGTGCTCCTGCCTAGAACCTTCAGCATGTTAAGAGTTAGCTAATCTCATTAAAATGCAGATTCCAAGCCCTGCACAGTGACTCTTTCCTGTAATCTCAGCACCCTGGGAGACCAAGGTGGATGGATTGCTTGGGTTCAGGAGTTCAAGACAAACCTGAGCAAGAGTGAAACCCAGTCTCTAAAAATAGCCATGCTGGCACCTATAGTCCCAGCTACTCAGGAAGGTGAGGCAAGAGAATCTCTTGAGCCCAAGAGTTTGAGGTTGCTCTGAGCTACAATGCCATAACACTCTACTGAGTGAGACTCTGTCTCAAAAAAATACAGATTCCACAGCCCACCCCCACCCAGAGATTTTGACTATTGTGGGAAGAGGTCCAGATCCTTGGTTTTGCCAAGGGATTTCGTGTGACTGATCCACACTGAGATTACTCCCTGGGAGGCATTGCTGACAAAGGAAAGAGGGAAGTCACCAGTCCACAGCAGAGACCCCGGTGGCGGGTAGGGGTGGGGAGCAAATGTGCTCCACGTGCTTGCTCAGTTCTTGGTTGCTCTGGGTCAGTCCTCTCTGGAGTCCAGCTTCCAGGCTGTCCTGGGCATAGCCTTATCTTTTTTGCACAGAAATAAGCCCTTGTTTGGTTTCTCAGGCCATCTCTGTACCTGGGACAGTTCTCTATCCATCTGTTTATGCCTGCTCAGCAGGTGAATGAACTGCTCTTTACTGTGGCTTTTGCCTTAACCGTCTCCGATATTTCAGATGCATGTGACAGACCCATCTCTGGACTCTTCTAGGTTTTCCTTTCCTGGATTCACACTTGACTTTCTAACAGCAGAACGCAAATCAATACATTTCACACATTTTAAGCTCACTTGCTGCCTCTTTTAGCCTCGTACAAATTTATATCCACTCATTTCCTTGACAAAGAGGGCTGAAAATAGGGATAATAATCAAAATATTTGACAACTTCTGAGAAGTGAAACTATAGTTAAAATGTAGACAACTGGCATGGACCCCAACTGGTCAGAACAGAAACCTGCTATCATAGGCCAGTACAGCCAGCCACATAAGTGACCCCCAGTGTAGCAAGCTGAATAGCAGCCCCTCTCTCTAAACCCCAGAACCTGTACACTTTACCTTCTATAGCAAAAGGGACTATGTAGATAAGATTAAGGATTCTGAGGTGGAAAAATCATCCCGGATCATCCAGGAGGGGCTTAAATGTAATCACAAGTGTCCTGATCAGACAAGCAAGGGAAGACCGGACCGCAGAAGGCAGAAGGTGACGTGACTACAGAGACAAGATGCTACCGGATGGGTTTAAAGATGAAGAAAGGGACATGAGCCAAGGGATGCAGGTGCCATCTAGAAGTGGAAAAGGGAAGGAAATACATTCTCCCCTAGAGCCTCTGGAAGGAATCAGTCCTACCAATGCCATGATTTTAGTCCATGGAACCGACTTTGAACTCTGACTTCCAGAAACGTAAGTGAATAAATCTGTGTTATTTCATAAATTTGTGTGTTAATTCCTACAGCATCCACGGGAAACCAGTACCTCTGGGAATATGAGACTGAAGGTAGCCAAGGGAGGGCTGGAAGCATGAGGGGAGTCAGCCGTCATACCCCCGGCAGAGCTGGGCTGGAGTGCCTCACATCTACAGAGAAGATGGGGTGGGACAAGTGTCAGAGTAGGACGTATCCAGAAAAGTACTTGTGGCCAGAGTCAAACAGAACTATTATCAGGTCCTACACATCTCTTATACACAGCTGGGACAGCACTTTATACTGTTTGGGGCACAACTAAGGGGTCCAAGTCACTGCTGAGGGCAAAGGCTTGCCACCTTCCCCACCTTGTTGGATAGAGGGAATACAAAAAAAGTCTACCCTACCCCCCTCCATGTTTCCCATCCTGTTTTTATGATGCCTCCAGAAATTCTCTAGCACTTTTTAGGGTCTTCAACTGATACCATGAAAAATTGGCTTTGTGCTCTCTAAGATGACTCTCTGTATGGCGGCAGTCCTTAATCTTTTTGGTACCAAGGACAAGTTTTGTGGTTCATGGAAGACAAATTTTCCATGAATGGGAAGTGGGACAGGAGAAGGAGCTCAGGCGGTGATGCCAAGATGGGAAGAGGCTGTAAGTGCAGATGGAGCTTTGCTCACCTGCCTGCCACTCACCCCCAGCTGTGCAGCTCCCTTCCCAATAGACCATGGACCAGACCAGATTGGTACTACTTCATGGGGGTTGCGGAAGTGTACGGGGTGTTAGGTGGGCTCTTCAAGGGTTCCCACTGCTAAGAACCACTCTGCTGCTCTCTTGTTTCTAGAGGATGCCAGTGTGAAGACAGACATGTAGATTAATGGACTAGAATTGAGTGTCTAGAAATAAACCCTTATATTGATGGATTATTGACTTTCGACAAGGTCATAAAGACAATTCAAATGGTGCTGAGACAACTAGATTTTAACTCCTATCTCATATCATATGTAAAAATTAACTTAAAATGGCTCAGTGCCTATAGCTCAGCAGTTAGGGCACTGGCCACATATACCAGGGCTGGTGGGTTCAAGCTTGGCCCAGGCCAGCTAAACGAAAATGATAACTGCAACAAAAAATAGCCAGGTGTTGTGGCAGATGCATGTAGTCCCAGCTACTTGGGAGGCTGAGGCAAGAGAATCACTCAAGCCCAAGAGTTTGAGGTTGCTATGAGCTGTGATGACATGGCACTCTACCAAGGGTGACATAGTGAGACTCTGACTCTAAAAGAAAAAAAAACTTAAAATGGACCAAAGACCTAAATATAAAAGCTAAGACTATAAAACTCTTAGAAGAAAACATAGGAGCGAATCTTTGAAACCTTAGGTTAGGCAATAGCTTCTGATAGGTAACACCTAGAGCACAGTAACCAAAGGAAAAATACGCAAATTAGACTTTATCAAAATCAACTACATAGTGCTTCAAAGAACACCACCAAGTAAGTGAAAAGATAACTCACGGAATGGAAGAAAATATTTGCAAATCACATACTGATAAGGAACTTGTATCCAGAATACATAAGGAATTCTGACAACGTAACACTAAAAGAAAGATCAACTTAAAAATCGACAAAACAGGCTGGGCAAGGCGGTTCACACCTGTAATCCTAGCACTGGGGGAGGCCGAGACCAGCCTGAGCCAGAGCAAGACCCTGTCTGTAAATAGCCAGGCGTTGTGGCGGGCACCTATAGTCCCAGCTACTATGGGAGGCTAAGGCAAGAGAATTGCCTAGCCCCAAGAGTTCGAGATTGCTGTGAGGTGTGACGCCACGGCACTCTACCGAGGGTGACAGAGTGAGACTATGTCTCAAAAAAAAAAAAAAAAAAAGACAAAAACAGACATTTCTTCACAGAAGAGGTACAAGCAGCCTGTAAGCACCTGCAAAGACGCTCAGCATCTTTAGTCACACCTGCAATTTCACATTTGCAAAGATGGCTAAAATAAAAAATTGAAAAAGCGTGGGTGAGGAGGTGGAAAATCGGAACTCTCACACGTGGTGGGTGGGAATGTAAAATGGTGCAGCCGCTGTGGAAGACAGCTTGGCAGCTTCTCAAAAAGGGAAACAGAGTTACCACCTGATTCTGCAATTCCACGCCCAGACATACACCTCAACACAGCAGACCACCTCGTGGGTCGTCTCCCTGGGCCTATTTTCAAGTGGGGCATTTACTCTCCACCCTCGGACCTCTCTGTCCTGAGGCTGAATTCTGTTCTCTCCTAAATGGCCTAGAATTTCTTCTCTGTGTCAGCAACTGTAGAGTCTCCATCACATGCAACTCCCTGTGGCCCCCGCCAGACTCCTCTTCTGAGGGTGTTTCCTGTACCTCCAGGCCCCATCCCACCCTCAGCTTGGAGAATCTGTGTGGCCTGTGGGCCACCTTCCTGACCTGTCTTTGTCTCCAGCATCTCCCAGCCCACCTTCTCCCCCAGTTACAATTCCTGCTCCATACCGGTGCCCAGGAGCTGGTGGCCGTGGCCTCTTCCCTAGTTCCTTACTCCTCCAAGGTTCTGCTTTTGGCACTGGTGGCCCCGACATCTCATTTTGTCTCCCCACTCCCCTCCCTCTGAAGTTCTGGTAGGTGAAACTAGGACAAAGGCGGGTAAATGGAAGGGTTAAGGACTCCGGGAGACAAAAAGAGCCTTTGTTTTCATCTGCTTTCCCCCTTGGCTTTGGCTTCTTTGAAGAGCGGCATCCAGACGCTGTAATGTTAACAGTCACCCATGGCACATGGCCTCCCCTTCCCTGCCATCTGTCCAGCGACACTGCTGCCTGGCTGTGCTGACTGCAGACTGTAAATAAACTAGGACTCTCAACCTCTAAGGGGAAACCAAAGCACAGAAATTATGCTAATTCCATTCCTAACACATTTATCTGCATATATTAATATTAATCATGTTACGGCTCCAGCTATTTCATTGTTACAAATAATCTTCAGTGATAAAATCATCAGGTATATATAACAAACAGCTCTTCCTCTGGCACACACCCCTCCACAACTGCCAACACCATCTTGCTTAACTGTAGCAGAAAATCTGCTACAGCAATTGGGAATTTAAAGCCCCCCAATAATTCAATCTCCTTAAAACAAATATTAACTGTAATGTTCTAAAGAAAATGTCAGAAACAGCGGGCTACTGGTAGCTGGTTGGAGGTGGAAGTTATTTTAGAGGAACTTGAATCCCAAGCATGCAAGTTCATGTGCTCACTAAGATCAAGGCACGTCACACTCTAATGAGCGCTGGATCTTACATAATCATTGAGCAGATGGGCTGTAGCCATGATTTTGTACAAATGTAAATTGTCTTCTAAATGAAATGTGCTTGGGAAAGATACACCAGGCTCAAATTTCCAACAGAGGGGGAAAAACAACTCACCAAAGTCCCATTATTTACTCAGCTGGTTTTGAATGCAAGTCTCCTAGCCAATGTAATAAAAAATGTCTCCCACGGTCTTGTGAAGAAGAAGTGAAGGGCTGTGCGTGGTCTCTGTTTCTCAGCCTTCAACAGCAAGCCATCTGCAGAGAAGAAGGAACCTTGCTATTTCTTGGGCATAGTCCAGAAGGGTTCACAATCTAACACTTTTTTTCTTTAATATACTTTAAATCGAGGTGTAATTAACATACAATGAAACGCGCAGACATTGGATGTTCAGAAGGATGAATCTGACAATTGTCTGTGCGTATTTAACAAATACCCAGAACAAGATCTAGAACGTTTCCTTCATACCATAACATTCCTGTCCCTACCCCCAACAAGGTGACCACTGACCATTGCTTTCTGTTAATACAGAATTAATTGTCCTAGAATTTTATGTATGTAGAATTATGCAGTAAGAACTTTTCTTTCTTTGTGTGGCTTCTTTCATTCAACATAATGTTTTTGTTTGTTTGTTTTTTTATAGAGACAGAATCTCACTTTGTCACCCTTGGTAGAGTGTGGTGGAGTCTCAGCTCATAGGAACCTCCAGCTCTTGGACTTAAACAATTCTCTTGCCTCCACCTCCCAAGTAGCTGGGACTACAGGCCCCCGCCACAATGCCTGGCTATTTTTTTGTTGTTGTTGCATTTTGGCCAGGGCTGGGTTTGAACCTGCCACCCTCGGTATATGGGACCGGTGCCCTACCCACTGAGCCACAGGCGCTGCCCAACATAGTGTTTTTGAGATTCATTCAGGTTGTTGCATGTGTTTATAGTTAGCTCTTTTCTTAAAAAAAAAAAAAAAATTGCTGATGTATTTCCTTGTTTCATGAATTATTCTGTTATTGGACCTGGAATCCAATAATGAAAATCTATTTATTTACCCTGGACATTTGGATTGTTTCCAGTCATTGGCTCTAATTCAATGGGAAAAGAAAAGTCTTTAACAATATTGAACCTCAACCCCTTTCCCACTCCATATACAAAAGTTAGTTGAAAATAGATGATAGAGCACAGTGGCTCACACCTGTAATCCTAGCACTCTGGGAGGCTAATGCAGGGATCACTTGAGCTCAGAAGTTTGAGCCTGAGCAAAAGTGACACCCCATGTTTACTGAAAATAGAAAAACTGGCTGGGTATAGCCTATAGTCCCAGCTACTAGGGAGGCTGAAGCAAGACGATCACTTGAGCCCAAGAGTTGGAGGTTGCTGTGAGCTGTGATGCCATGGCACTCTACCCAGGGGGACAGCTTGAGGCTCTGTCTCAAAAAAAAAAAAAAAAAAAAAAGAAAAGAAATATCCACAGTTACAAAGCTTCTAGAGTGAACCGTAATATCTTGATGGGCTTAAGTGGGCAAAGAGTTTTAGAACAAAAAAAGCACTAATCATAGAAAAAGTTGGATTTCACCAAAATTTAAAATTTCAGCTCATGATAAGATAGGATTCAGAAAATAAATAGACAAACTGCAGTCCAGGAAAAATATTCAAACACATGTGTCTAACAAATGACTTGCACCCAGATTATATAAAGAATGCTCACAAATCAACAATAGGAAGACAGGCAACCGATTAAAAATGGTAAAAGGCAGCTCGGTGCCTGTAGCTCAAGGGGCTAAGGAGCCAGCCACATACACCAGAGTTGGCAGGTTCAAATCCAGCCTCGGCCTGCCAAACAACAATGACAACTACAACCAAAAAATAGCCGTGTGTTACGGTGGGCGCCTGTAGTCCCAGCTACTTGGGTGGCTGAGGCAAAAGAATTGCTTAAGCCCAGGAGTTGGAGGTTGCTGTGAGCTTTGATGCCACGGCACTCTACCCAGGGCGCCAGCTTGAGGCTGTCTCAAAAAAAAAAAAAAAAAAAAGTGGTAAAAGACTCCAACAGATACTTCACAAAAGGTGCACTAGTGGCCAATACATCCTCAAAAAAGTGCCCCAAATCTTTAGTCATCTAATTTTTACAAATTTCTGTTGAAAATTCATCTGGTCAGGTGTTCAGAGCTTTCCCATTTCTCCTGCAGCCAGGAAGAGCTAAATATAAAATGCCAAAAGGAAACAGATTTTATATTTGAAGACCTAGTCCTCCAACCCCCTCAGACTGCACGCCTTCTGCTTAGTAATTACAAAGCATTTTCTAGAATCGCTGCAGTGAACATACCTGCAGCTGCCTGAGCCCTTCGTTGTGTGGTTCAGTGCTGCAAAGGGAGAAAACTCAGACAGCTCGCAGCTTCAGGAAGGTACGGGAAAAGAAAGGGACAGTGCTGGGCTGTGGGGGCAGGGAAGGTATGCAGTGACAATTGCATGAAGGTGTCAGGCTTGGTGCAGCTTTTATTTATTTTCTATTTTTATTTTTTTTGAACCAGAGTCTCACTCTTGGTAGAGTGCCCTGGTATCACAGCTCACAGCAATCTCCAACTCTTGGCCTTAAGTGATTCTTTGCCTTAGCCTCCCAAGTAGCTGAGACTATAGCCACAACGTCTGGCTATATTTTGGTTGCAGTTGTCATTGTTTAGCAGGCCCAGGCCAGGCTTGAACCCACCACCTTCAGTGTATGTGGCTGGCATCCTACTCACTGAGCTATGGGCACCGAGCCTTGGTGCAGCTTTTAAGAGCAGAATAAAATCAGACTCTCCAAAGGGCAAACTTCTCACCACTAACCATTTAAAAGAGAAAACATTAGCCTTCATGCTTCCTTCAGTGACTGACTTCTCTTTCCTAGAGAATAACAACATTTACACTTTATCAACACAGCTGTCTGGTGAGCACATGGACTACGCAACAGGCACTGTTGTAGGCAGAGTGAACTAGGTACAACCCCAGGCTACACAGGCAGCTTAAAGGATTCTCACCAGTCTGTTTTTCATCTAGTTAGTTGACCATCCATGCCAGGTGTTTAAGGAGAAGGAGTTCTCATTGGCAGGAGGAAACAGAACAGTGGCAAAGGTGCCCCTGGCCCAGAGCACTCAGAACATTAGACACTTGCCGTGGTTAGTTGTGTGTTTTGGGTTGCTTCCTGAATCTGGAAAAGATAAAGAACAAGCATTTTAGACTCTTGATTGGAATCAGGGGAAAACGGAGTGTGTGTGTGTGTCTCTCTCTCTTTCTCTCTTCTAACTACATTTTGAGGAACGACAGTTAGGTGGAAAGAAGAGACGTGCTAGGGAAGGAGATTCTTGAGAACGCTGCAAGCCTGACAGGACTCAATCTAACAGGGACGCCATAACATCTAATTAAACCTCATTTGGGTCTTAGGATTTCCACATGAATAAATTTATCAGCTCACTCGTTCTTGTCTACTGAAAAACCAATTAAAATAAACTGATAAATTTTATTTAACCCAATATACCCCAAATATCACTCCAACATGTAACAGGTATGAAATTGATCAATGAGACACTTTACATTCCCTTTTCTGCACCAGGATTTTGAACTCCAGGGTGTACACGCGCAGCCTCTCTGGATTTTTGACTTTTAAGTGCACAGTGGCCACACGTGGCCAGCTGCCATACTGGATGGCACAGGTGCAGAATCTCATGGCTCCTGTCTGGCTCAACACGGCTTTTGTTAGTATTTTCCTCTGAAGATTGTAGCCCCTTAAGGGCAAGGCAGACACCTCTGTAAGTTGACCACCCTTGGGACTGTAACAAACTGGTCACCATACAGATGTGGTCAGCATAAGGAACTAGGGCTCTTGGACATGTAGCGCATTTCTGGTCTATGAAAATCAGGTCAATGTAAGGAAATGGTCAACATAAGGCGGTGTCAACTAGGGAGGCGCTACTGTAGTTAACATTGTAACTTCCACAGTGCCCGCCTAAAAGAGCTGCTCATCAGATATGGGCCAATTAAAGCTAACTGAATAGAACGTGTGGATTAATTGTCTTATGGATTTTGACTCAGAACTTCGACATTCTTTAAACTGTAATTTCATGACTTAAAACAATTTTTTTTTCTGTTTGCGAATCTTGGATATGCGCTGAGCTGCTTTTTCTGCATTTTATTTATTTGCTTGAGAAGCAGCTTCTATTTTTACTGTAAGTCAGAGATGTGGGCACCACCCTGGCCTCTACCTGGTGTCCCAAGTGCTGCCCCTAAGCCTTTCCCCCTGGGGGGCGGGAGGCAGTGGAACTAACTGGGACAGATACACTCTGGGCTTCCCACACCTGCTGGGTAAAATCCACTGAAGCCTTTGTCAGGGAAAGAGATTATTAATAAAAACAAAAGATGTTTTTGGGTGGCGTCTGTGGCTCAAAGGAGTAGGGTGCCGGCCCCATATGCCAGAGGTGGCGGGTTCAAACCCAGACCCGGCAAAAAACTGCACAAAAACAAAACAAAACAAAAGATGTTTTTAATGTTTCCTCATTTCACTTGGAAAACTTTCAAAGATAAAATAATACTTTAAGTCTGATACAGTATTTTACCATTTACAAAATATATTTGAACCTATCGCCTTCGGTCTTTGAAACAACCTCAAGAGGTTGGAGGAGAAATGTTAGGTACCCATTTTGTTGTGTAAGGAAGTTGAGCCTGGGAGGCCTTGGGTGGACAGCCTGAAGTCACATAGCTAGTCGGTGGTGAGTACAATTTTTGAATCCAAGTCGGATTCCAAGTGTTTCCCAATGTTGAAGGCCCCTCGGTTTGTACTTGGTATCCATGAAATACTCACGCTATGCGGGCTCCATCCAGCTTGCGAATTGTCACTGTCGGCGCCCTTTAGTGTGTCCTCTAGCGAGTTCCGTGAAGCCCCTGGGGCTGCTCCTCACACCCCAGGGGCGGGTTCCCCCTAAGTCTGCACTTTAACCGCCTTGCGATGGGCCCCACTCTAGCCTCTGACGCTACCGCCGTCGGGCGCGCTCGGCGCGGCTGCGCTCCGCCGCCCTCTGCTGGGGACCTCTGCTCACTGCCTCTCTCCGGCCATCTTGGGCTTCATTCTACTGTGGGACCGGCCTTCCCCGTTATCACGCAGCAGGAGCCTGGGGGGCATCGTCAGAAAGGAATTCTCACAGCCGTCTCATAAAAAGGGACTGCAACGTAAAGAACAGCTAACACCTGATGCCTCCAAATAGGGTGGCTGCCCTCGGAGCTTCCCCCTGGCCCCGCCCTCGGAGCTCTTATCTCCTTCCAAATGTAAGGGCCGCTCCCACCTTGCCACATCCTGCGGCGGGTGGACCGGCTGACCCGGAAGTGCAGGGGGATAAGGGAATTTTCTCCCCCAGTGTAAAGTTCGCCTTTCACGTTTTCATTTCCTGAACTCAAGGAAGTAGTAGGATTGTCTCTGCTCCGGGAAAGTCCCTCCTCCCCCACGAGAGCTCCTGCTGCGGCCTTGAGTGAGACAGGTGAAGTTACATCGGAAAGTAGCAACCCAACATATCTATGTTCTGGGGTGATCAGGCTTAAATGGTTTGGCCTCCAAGACACATCTACTTCCTTTGCACGGTCCTCTGTAGCATGAGGTCAAGTTCAAGTCTGCAGAGCCCTCCTGTTCCCATGGAAACTCCTGTCCAGCTCTCCATCTTGTTTGAGAACACACACAACTCCTAAGAACAGGCGATATGTTACAGACAAGAGCAATGTAACGCCCTGCGGAGAAAGCAAATCTCTTTGAAGAAAATAACGAATCTCTGCTAAAAAAAAAAAAAAAAGACATTTAATTTACAAAACTAAGAAAAAGCTTAACCCTCCACTTTAAGAAATCTGTATTCGGACCGCTTTGCCCAGTCCAGGTTTTCTCTCCAAAGAGGTCTGTCAACCACTAGTTTCCCCTTTTTCCAGAGAGGGGCCTTCTTTGACAAAGGGACGGCTTGCTCCAGTGAGAAATTTCCTAACTACCTCTTAGGAAGCAGTTTCTCTTGCAGACTTCAAAGTAATGCATTTACTAACTGCTAAACCCATCAGGGTTTCAGAAACAAATCACAGCTGTAGTCAGGGCGGCTTGTTACCGCCAGTGTTCCAGAAGCCTAATGCTCCGCCATTTCTCCTGTGCCTCCTTCCATGGAGCAGATGGAACAGAACATCACCTCTGCTAGATGACTCAGTTGTGAACACCAATTACTGTGCTGTTCTAATACAATGAAGCTTTCAGGGAAACGGGGCCTGGTGGGTCACTTTGCCCTGGTATGAAACTGCCCCAGACGACTCTCCCTAGAGTTCTATCTCCTGCTCTGTGGATATCTTAGTCTGTTTTATTATAACAGGATACCAAAGATTGGGTAATTTATATGAAACAGAGATTAATTTGTTATAGTTCTAGGGGTTGGCAAGTCCCAGATCAAGGGGCCTACACTTAGCAAGGCCCTTCTTGCTGCATTACCCCATGGCGAAAATTGCAAGGGCAGGAAAGTATATGGGAAAGAGAGGGGATGGGGACAAACTCCTCTTTCTTATCAGGAACCTGCTCCCATGATAACTAGCCTAGTCCTGCCATAATGACATTGATCTGTTCACAAGGGAAGAGCCTCATGACTAATACCTCACCAAGGCCCTTCCTCTCAACACCGCTGCATTGGGGGTTACCTTTCCAACCTACACACTTTGGGGGCCATGATCAACCACAGCAGTTGGGTGTATATTTCTTGTCTTGGCATCTGCCACATTTGTCTTTCCCGCTTTTGGTGAGCTGCTCCGTGGAGCACAATCTTCCCTTCTCATCCTTATCATGAGCTGAGAAGCTTGACATCCACACTTTGTAGGCAGAACTGCTTCTAAATGAAGAGCGTTTGTGTTTTGAGTGAGGATCTCAGGGTCTTCCATCGGTATAAAAAGCATCATCTTTAGTTTCTCAAAGTTTCCTCTTTTTTCAGTTCTGTTTCTGATATTCATTTAGTCAACAAATATGGATTACCAACTTATATGTTAAGCACTCGGGCAGTGGTTCTTCTCCTTAGTGATACATTAGAGTCACCTGGAAAGCCTTAACAACTTCCTAATGCCAGCCTTCCATGAAGGTTCTGATGTAATTGGTTCTGGGTGTGGCTTCGGCATTGGAGATTTTCAGAAGCTTCCCAAGTGACAGAGGACTGCTGTGAAGGAGAAGTGATATCTTCAGAGGTCTCTCAGTGCTCCATGGAAATCCATCCCCTCCCTCGGCCTTGGCATCTGACAGCCCTTTCCACCTCCAGAGTCATCAGAGCTCTACTTTTTGCTCAATATTTATATCTTTAAGGATTTCTTCTGAATTTTTCTCTTTTGAATCATGTATAGAATATATGATTAGAAAGATTAAACCCTTGGACCAGAATCTGACATCATCGCAGACAATAAACTTTCATTAGTCATTGACTTGTGATCAAATCTTTGTATTTAAGACATCTGAGCCTTAGAACAGGCTTTCTCTTGAACCATAGAGGGCATAAGATGCCCCAAACATCACTGCTTCCTTCCTCATCTTCCAGACTTGAAACACAAGAGCCTCTGTCAGCAAAGAAGTCTGATCTAGAAGGCCAAAAACAAGAGTTGGAGACCCAGTCTTCCTACTTACTTATGGAGTGACCTTGGGCAAGCTGCTTAACCATGCTGGGCTCTATACGTCTTGTTTTTAAGTTTTCAATAATAAACTTAATTTTACAATCAAACGAGGGTTTGTTGTGATCATTGAGAAGGATTGTAAATGCATACTTTTCTGTAAAAAAAAAATTCAACTGCATTATTATTACAAGGTAACATAGCTGTTGTGAATTAGTGTTGGCCTTTTGTGTCTTTCTTTTCCACAAGTTTAACTCTAGTTTAAGGTTTAAAAATCATATACAGAGGCTGGGTGCAGTAGGTCACACCTGTATTCCTAGCAGTCTGGGAGGTTGAGGCAGGTGGATTGCTTGAGCTCAGGAGTTTGAGACTAGCCTGAGCAAGAGCCAGATCCCATTTCTACTAAAAGTAGAAATCCTAAGTGGGCATGGTGGTGCACGCCTATAGTCACCAGCTACTCTGGAGTCTGAGGCAAGAGAACTGATGGAGCCAAGAGTTTGAAGTTGCTGTGAGCTATAACACCACAGGACTTTACCAAGGGCAACAAAGTGAGACAGCCTCAAAAAAGAAAAAAAAAGTCCTAGGTGCAAAACAAGGACAATTCAAAATACTGGCATCAGCCTTCTTTAATCAAGATACTCCAAATCTACTATTTGTTCAGTATCAAGTATATTACTGTGAAGAGTCAAATCATGGCATAAGAAATGGGGTGTTTTGGTCCATGTCTTCCTGTTGCTGTATCAAATCTGTTAAAGATGCAGGCTGCAGAAGGGATGTCAAGTTTCATTTAAACATTTCCTCGAGTGGCCAGCAGATGGCTCTTCAAAGACCCCCAACCACACGGAGCTCAGCTGACTAAGTCCTCAGTTACTGCCCTCTCAAATCCATTGGCACAAATGTGCACATTTCCACTACCACGGGCCACTCTAAACTCACGTCTGAGTGCGGACAGGAAACTGACGCAGATCTACCCCTCAGACATGGGACTCTCCTGACAGCTTTGAGAGCTCCCTGACGGCTTGCCGAACCTTCCCCAGATGACACGACGACCTAGGACACTTCCACCCTGCAGCCTTCATATGGCCTCAGACTTGACTTGTGGTCTGGCAGGTGTCTCAGCCTTCCCCAGAGCCTCCTCCCCACCCGCCTCCAATTTCTCTCAACCCTGTTTCCTCTAATAAAGTCTTTATGTGAGAAGTCTTTGCATGTGTAAACTCATCTCAGTGTCTGCTTCTTGGAGAACCCAGACTAACACAAGTCACTTCTTCTACCATAACCGTCCCCTAACCTGCCTTTGAAAGACTGCACACCCCCTCAGGTGGAGCCCTGGGAGCACAAAGCAAATGTCCTGGATGCCATGTGTGTGCCACCAATGGCATGCCACATTCACGGCAGAGCTTTGTGAAATAGCTAGCTCCCCATCTGCCTCACATCCGGGAGTCAGCAGTGCAATGGTGCCCATGTGGAAGGCACATGTTTTGGATTAAAAAGTAAAGTCAGACTCTTTCTAACAGAAGATAAATCTAGTTTGATGATGAGTATTGGCCTTTTCATTTAGATGATGCGGCAGACATTGCTACATATTTAATGAGCTAAATTGGTAACGCTAAGACTTGGGAGGAAAACCTCCAAATTTAAGCAGGTAGTTAAAAAATTATATATTTTTAAGTTACACTAATAAACAAGAATTGAAATTAATGATAGTTCAGGTTTTCCAAATATACCAGGTGTGGTATATTGAGAATATGCTTCCAAAGTAAAAGTAACTGTTATAATTCAGAGTCACAAGGTAAGTCTTGATAAAAGTTTTTGGTGGACCTCTTAGGAAAGGAGAGAAACTAGTAATTAGGTAACAGATCCTTTTGAAAGTCAAATGGTTTCTCATTCTCTGCCTGGAGCAAAATTGAAGGAGAACACTTAACTCTCAATAGAAAATATGATTTCTGTCATAGACCTTAGAGCTAAAAAGAATTGAGTGCTACTGCTATTGGAGAAATTCTTCTGTTTCTACCTACATATTTATGGAAGCCAACGTTTACCAGGGCTTGAATCTATAAAATGAAGGATAAAAATAAAACTGTCACTAACTTTGTCTCACTCATCCCCATAGACACGAGCTCATTGGAAAACAGTGCCATCAACACGTACTTTCATCTAGCTCAGTAAGAAAGGCACTTCAAATACAGTTGGACTTTTCCTGTTTAATAATTAATTTGTGATATCTTTACATTATGTTGTTTAATGTGTCCTAATTACAGTGTAATGACAACCAAGAAGAGACTTTCTGCCACTTAGAGGCGCAGATACAGAGAAGAAAGTTTTATTTATAAAATTTCAATTTATATAGATATT